GCACTGGAGCCCTGGCTGGTGGCCACGATCGGGCCCAAGCTGGAAGCAGCACTGCCGGTTTCTCCGGCCAGCCCCAGAGACGGGCAGCACCACATCCCTCTGCAGAGGCCGGCTGGAGGATCAGCCACGGCGTACTCACCTCTACAAGGTTTAACCATGGCTGCAGCTGCCCAAGTGACAAACCCCAGCGACATCTCACAAAGTTGTGACGGCAAACTGCCCCTAATTTTCTCCGAACTAAGGGCTCTTGCTCATGGTCTTGCAAATTGTCTGCTTTTGAACCTCTGAATACTTGAAACTTTTTCCTGCAGAATTTCCAGTTGTTTCCCCATGCTGCAGGAAAGTTTGTGTAGTTATCCCTACTAAGGAATAATGATGCTCACTGAAACACATGTTATTTATTTGCAATCAATTTTCTGTGGATATCCAGGAAAAAAAGAAATAGAACCAGCTTTGGATTACTTTTCCTAGACAGGACTTTCACATGAACAACTCCCTTGATACCAGCTCTAACGCAGATATTTCTCAATTCTGGGAAACCTGCCGTCACCCAGAAGCACAGCAGCCTACAGCCAGGGTTAGCCAGGGCAGTGGAAGAGAAAGCCCGCAGAAAAATATGAGGGACAGGCTTTCCACGCTCCACATGGCACATATGACCGGGGCCCAAGGGAAGGCAGTCCCCCTGTGCACTGCTGCGACGGGTTACATACTAGGTGACGCCACACGCTTACAAGCACAGATGCCCTCCAGCACACCCGAAGTGGGCGATCAGTCAGTTTTCAGCAGTTGCTTTCAGGGAGCCATCCTTACACCACATCCTCTCAGGCTGACAGTGCGATTCCCCCCACTCTGGGGAGTTGGAGGAGTCGACACAGACACGAAAGAGGCTTTCCTAGCAATGAAACCGCTTGTCCCACCTTTCTCCTGCACTCGGGAGAGCAGAGCAGGCTCAGGCTGGGAAATCACAGCTCACCATCAGTGCCCTCCTCGTGACCTCTTTCACCATCCACCTACTTTGCTTTTAGAGCTAATCTCTCAGTAAACCCAAGCTATCTCCACCTTGGAGGGAGCAGAGAACAGGGGATGTATTTGAGCTCAAGCTTACAGCAGACCCCATGGAAGATGGAAAAGCTGCTCTCACTCTGCACATTCTCTTCCAGAGGCACAGATTAAGGTGGACGGACTGCTGCGTCTTCACCTCCATCTAAAAGTACAAGCCAAAAGCATCACTTCCTCCACAAAGTTGCAGACGCTTCCCCTTACCCCAACACAAAGAGAACAGAAGCAGTGAGGCAGTATCCAGTCCCAGAAGGGTCCTGGTATTTAGTCACGGAAGGACATAAAAAGCAGAAAGCAGCATTTTCAGGCATGGCAAAACTGAATCTCACTATAAGCCTGACCGATTTCAGCCTACCAGCCACCTTCAATTATCCTGCACGGCCTGTGATGATGTTGCCATGTGCCAGTTGTCAGACTCCAGAGAGGAGCTGTACTGATGGCACCCTGGAAACAATCAGATCCAGTTAAGATTCAGCTGGTAGACAAGGACAGGCGCCCCGTATGCTCACATTGCTGCAGCCACGTGAGATGCAGAGGTGAGGCAAGTACTAGCTGTCTGGACAATCGTTCAGTCAAACTTAATAGGGCCAAGGAGAAAGTCTGCCAGACGTGTCACCTAGACATTCTCCAAGCAGCTCTTCTACAGCACGCTTCTGCAGTAGCGGATTAACAATGACTTTGGCTGGGAGCTTCAGTCACCTCTGTGAAGCTGCCTGGGCTGTAGACACAGGCAGGGCACAATCCACAGCGGGGCTGGCAGAGGTATGCGCTACTGATTCCTAAGGATTAAACCCAGCCTCCTCTTAACGTCTATACTTAAAAGAATCTTCTTTACCTAAATGGATTGACTAGGAACCCTATAAACCACACACAAAGCCACTCACACTACTAAATGCACTGTGTCAACCCCTGGCAGAGGAAGGGGAGCGTCAGAGGAGCACCTAGCTGTTCCTCACAGAGCACCATGCAGGGAAGACCCTGCCCCGCAGCAACACGGGCACTGTCTGTCCACGCACCTGACCGGCACCCAGCTGTGGCAGCCAGGGACACCCTGGCTGCTTCTCCAAGTAGAGGAGGCGCACACGGGTCCACAGGGCTGGAGAAGCTTTTCCTCTGCGCGACCAGCACAAAGGAATTGCTTGTCCCCCAGCAGTTGTTTCAGCAGAAGGGAGTTTGACTGTTTCTACCCTCACAACCACAATCGCAAACTGTACCAGAACCCTTCACTCTGTGGGGGGGTCTTTAGATCACACATAGCAGAAAGACGCTTGCTCCTGAGCCCATGATTACAGTTGTTCCGTTTTAGCGAAACTGGCTGCCACTGGTCATAAATAAGGCATCCCAGCAGCTACACACTGAAGCTTTCCAGAAAACGTCCTCTGACTCGTCACTTAGTGCTTGTTCTACTGATCCAAGTCTCCCTACACACAGAGCTGCACGCAGAAATCAAATACAGAGTGCTGGCCTGATAGAAATCAACACGAGTAACACAGAAAGCATAGAAGTTAAGGCAAAAACAAGACTCCTGTTCTCATCCTGCAGCAAGAGACAGTTCTGGGAAAGCTCTGCCAGCCTCATGCTCCAACATATTTCTAAACAACATGAAGGCACCACAAGCTTACAAAATCCCTCAGAGTTCTTCCACAGTGCTTGTCACGCAGACTATCCTGTACAAGGGCCCTGCTTGCTCTGGAGTTCACTGACCAAGGCAGCCTTGAGCTGGAGGATTAGCTGTAACAGCGGTGCAATTCCCCTGAAGTCAGCCAGTCCAAAGAAGCAGGCTGGAAAAAGCTGGAAAAGCAGCAAGGTCTCTTACCCTGCTCACTAGACTTGATCTACGTGCAGAACTTCAAGAGGTGAAATAGCAGCACTTCAAACCCTCCGTGCAGGATCTGCTCTGGCATTGGCTTTATGCAAAGCCTGTGCACGTACCAGAACGGCAGACTGAAACACAAATTTTACATGGGCAGTATAAAGACCCGATGGCTCTGGCACAAACACCCTGAATGTGAGACAGTTGCTCTCGTTAAGAGGTTTGTGACAAACCTGCAAATGCTGTCTGGCATTTCCAAAGCTTTGATTGTGACTGCACCATTTGCAATCTGATCAGAGAAAACGCAGCTGCCCTGGCTCCTTGGCCCAAGGCAAGAAATGCCATTACCAGTACAAGGTCCAGGCAGCAATTCCAAATCGAGGCGTACTCTGCCGGCAAATCCCAGACACCTGTGATGGCAAGGGTAAATATTTTACAAGGATGGTGCTATTATTGCCAAAATGTCAGGAAAATGCAGCATTAACTCCTCTCTGGCCATATCAGAAGAGGCTGTTCAGACGCAACTGTATCCACACTGGTACACAGGCTGCAGGGCGGAACGAAGCCTGCGCAGCCTGCATTCCCCAAAGGCAGCAACTTTCCAAGGAAGGATAGACTTGCTGTTTCCCACATAACAATGCTTCAAGAGAGAAACCTGAGGCAAGAAGCAACCCTGAATTCCTAAGCTCAGGGCCACCTCCCAGCTGGTATTGGCAGAAAGACAAAGGGAACAAGCTTGTTGAACTCTTCACTCTCTTCACCCCTCACACTGCAAGGTAACAAGCTGGTGCTAAGCATCCCACGCAACCTTATGGCTCTTCCCTGCTCACCCATGACACTCCCTTTGCTCTGAGCTGCAGTTTCCATCCTTAATGTGTTCCAAATCCTTTCTGCTCCTTCTACAAGAACCAAGATTTGCTCTGCCAGCAAATATCTTTATGTGTGGTGATTTTTTGCTCAGTGGATCATGTGGCAAAGACGGTGCAGAGGTATTCCCCCAGTTCACCTCAGCGCAATTGGCCACTTGCACAACATGCAGGGTTGCACAGACCCTGGCACAAGATCAAAGCTGATGGGGGAAGGTGGAGTTTACATCGCTGGTTGCCACACCATTCAGTCAGTCAGCTTCCACCTGATAGCCTACTTGAAAGAACAGTGCCAAACTGGTACAGGAATAAACGCCCAGCTGCAGGTTTAAAAATAGAGCATCCTGCTATTTACAAAGGCTGTATTTGCCTTTGCAGATAGATTCACTCTGTCCACGTCTGCTGTCAGATCAGCCTGTGACCTGTCAAGGCAGCAGCGACACTCGTCTGTCCCTCGGGACTCCAAGTGGACTGTGGCAAGGCTGCTGCAAAGCCTTATTGGAGGCAGTGCTGTGACACAGGCCGCCCTCGCTCAGAAGCACCAGAGATGGGAGGCTGGCTGTATTCCAGGCATGTCATAAGCAATTAGGAGTTTGATGAGCTGTGGGGGCAACAAGCCCCTCTGCATCAGCAGAGGGAAAGATGTCCTGATGGTTTATTGGCACACTTTCAGGGGTACCCCTGCCAACAGCCCTGCTCCCTGCCCAGCCACCCTGTGTCCAAAGGGGATACGGCCCCACAGACCCATGGCCTGCCCAGCCCCACGCGTGACCCGCCGCGCCGCCCTGTGCCGCACCGCTCCCGAGGCCACCAGTGGGGCGACGGTCTTGTAGCGGATGAGATGCTGCGAGCCCTCCTCCAGGTCGATGGTGTACTCCCTGCCAGAGACGGGAGCTAAGCTGCCGCTGCTGCTGCTGCAACCTGCGCTGCTTTCGTGCAATGAGCTTACTTACGCCCTTACCTCTGCTCGTCCATCTCTGGCTCGACCAGGATGTTCTCCTGACGCTCCAACACCCTCAGGAACACAAAGGAGTCCAGGTTGGGCTTCGGAACTGCAGATAAGGGAATCAGAGCACAAACTCAGCACTCATGTACATCCCTCTGCAGACAACGAGCTAACAGGGGGGCTCAAGGGACAGCAAACTCATGGCCAGACACTTCTGATCAGATGCAGTGTGCACAGCCTCAACACAAGACAAGACTCAATGGCAGGGGCCAGCATGGTCCTCAGACAGCGGCATCAAGCCACGAACCCCACAGGAGGGCAGCATTTCAACACAGTCATGATGTCACCTTTGCTTCTACAGGGCGCTGGCTTTGCATTTCGTGCTTTCCAGAGGCTTCCCCACACCCCTGCTGCTCTAACTGTCTGATGACCGTGGAGTCTGGATGTACTCACCAGACTTCAGGAGAGACACTTTCTGCAGGTTGGGTGGCATGTGTTTTAGGGCCACGTTTTTCAGGTAAGTCTCTGTGTTTGCCATGTACCTGAAACAAATCATTGGAGCATTTACTGGTTCAATCAAATACAAATTTCCAGGGAGAGTACTGACTCAAAACGCCAGCAAGCAACATCTCCCGATCCCACAGCATGGCCAGAGACAAGCCTAATGGTCTGCCCTGGTAACTGGCTCAGAGTTACCAGAGTTATTTTATTTCAGCTCTTTCCTTGTCCAAAAGGAAACCTCCTGATGAAACCTGTGATTCTTACTGCAAACCTGTCTAAGGCTAACAGTCTCAAGAATTGTTCAGTATAACACACAGGTGAGTCCTATAACCTACAAAAAGGCAGGGAGATGTATCCAAAGCATACTCACTCTTCAGCAAAAGCAAACTCCTCTGGTGACAGAATGGAAGGCTCCCCTTCAGCTCGAGACTTCTCCTTCTCCAGTACATGGGGGAAAAACTTCTCTATCTGATATTGGAACAAAATCCCAAAGACTGAAACAGATCTCTCCCAGCAGTTCAGCGCCTACAGCCCTCACTCCCCAGAGTCTTCCCCTGCCAGCAGCGGTCCACTGCTGTACAGGTGTGTGCAGCAGCCACCAGCCTGCCAAATATCTGCTCCCGAATTAACAGCAATACGGTCAGCTGGGGTCTCCAAGCTGCACAACCACGTGTGTACGTAGCAGGACCCATGCAGAAAATGCTAGGATTCAATTGTGCAATCCTGTGCTTAGACGAGGTAAGAAAACACTCACAGCAGTGCTGTGATCCTCCACCACAACAGAAAAGCGTGTCCAAGCAATTAATTCCTTCAGATTGCACTTCGGAGGACACAGAGAGTGCGCTTTAACTACAACTGCCTTCCTGAAGCAGGAGGCATTGTATGGGCGAAAATCACTCCTGAAGTCACCCTTCTTCATCCCCTAGGCAGCACAAGCAAGTACTACCTTCACAAGTCTACATCGCAAGTAGCTGATGAGCACGTAACGGATCCTTTCAATCTCCATGCGGTGAACGCTGACCTTCAAGTCTCCTCTCTTTGCCCGTTTCAGATTTGCCTCCTCCAAGGAAAGGAAAAGAGAAATTAAATGGTTGAAATGTCAAATGAGAAACAGAGAGGAAGATGGATTTTGTACATAGGGCCCACAAAACCAGACTGCAGCTGCTTTTGGTGACACAAAGCACACTATTTCCTTGTATCCCCCAGTCCCCTCTCCAAAACAAGCTCAGAAAAGGTACTCAGAACAGCCACATCTCAGGGAGAGAGGAGCAGACAATCCTGGCAACCGCAGGAGGGACCCAAGCAAGTATCTGCCAGGCCATGCAACCAGGGCCTGCCCGTACCACCGCTTTAGCCCAGCAGAACCTACCATGTGGTCCAGCTGCTCCACAACACACTCAACGATCTCAGGTTTGCTCTCCAGCAGCTCTGGAGCAAACTTCTCATTCAGCCAGGCCTGAAAGAAGGCACACTGTGAGCAGAAGCGAGGGATGCACCGGCTAAAGGCCCCAGCCCGCGGAGAGCCCGGGAACTCAGCCCTCCCCACCTCCTCCAGCCAGCCCAGGGGCTCGGCCCCCAGCTGCCCCGCGTCTGCCCTAGACAGCCCAAGGCCCGGCTCCCAGCCACCGCCC